GCCCAACCTTCCTTCCGAGGAGTGGCTGGTGGGTTTGAACTGCCAGCCATCTGGTTAGCAGGCAAGTGTCTTAGCCACTATGCTACCAGAGCTCAAACATGAGGTTCCTATTTTTGTTATATATCCAGGTCCAAATTGCATATCTTTAAAAGACTATACTGACAAGTTACTATGCTACAATATGGCATAATAAATAAGTTTTATACAGATATATAATAGCACTGCTTTTTTACCTAATGAACAAGTATTAATGGATTTGATGTTTTCTACTGAAAGATGAATCAAGCTAACCAAATGATTTCATCACTCTTACGAGTGAAACCATATTTTATTAAGTAGTCTATTCTATTAAAAGAACATTAAAAATGTATCTTTGTTTTAAAAACTAAAACAAGTTTACCTCCAACCCAATTCGTAGCCACAAAGGATTATATGACAAAAGCCAATTTAGGACTTTCTGCCGTTCTCCTGAAACACATGCAAAAAGCAAGTAAGCTCAGATCACTAATCAAATAGAGACAGTAAATAAAACTTCATAGAGAGAAATCAGTAGAAAAAAGATAACTGCTTATACCAAAAAAGTTAATCAAGATATAATATACATTTGTTCTTAAAAACACATATTTAAGTATGTGAGATTGTAGGCAGTAAAGCCAAAACACATAACATATGCTTTAAAAAAAAAAAAAATTCTGAAATACAAAGTATTTTCACAGAACTAATCTCAAGGTTTCTGCAATCATCTTACCCACATCCTTCCAGAGATGTCTATCTTTACGAACAATTAAACGTCTGGCTTCAATTTCAATTTCAAGCCTTTTAATAGCTTTAACCAATTTTTCAGAAGTAAATAAACGGCAGGCTGCACGACGTAATCTATTCAATCTGCACCGAGCAGTGTAAGCTCTGAGAGACACTTCATCTTTTGTAGGTGCTCTAGGAACACTTATTTTATGTTGACTCTCCATTCCCAAAAGAAGAGTAGCAGCATTTACTGGGTTAAAACAAAAGGAAGAATGTTTCTGGTTAAATAATTGTTGTTGTTGTTATGTGCCGTCGAGTTGGCCCCAACTCATAGCGACCCCTCCTTGGGTTTTCGAGGCAGTATCACTACGGAAGTAGGATTGCCCAACCTTCCTTCCGAGGAGTGGCTGGTGGGTTTGAACCGCCTTAAATCCAGCAAAAATATGCAACTTAAGATGGCCCAAAACAGAATCTATTCACTGTTCCCTCCAAGCTTGCTCCTCTCTTTCTTTCTTATCTCAAGATAATGTCCTCACCATTCACTCAGTCCATAAGTCTATCACTGCATCCTGTTGGCTCTGTCTACAAAATGTATCCCACTTCTCACCACCTCCACCACTATCACTCAAGGTCAAACATTATTATATCTAACCCACATTAATGAAATAGCTTCCAAATTAGGTTCTGTGTTTTTTTTATTTTTATTCCAACAAGATGGCAGAATAGGCAGACAAGCTGCAGACCCTCTGCAATAAAACAATGAGAAACCAATTGAAACCAATATAGAAGATGATCCTAAGCTTTGAAGTGAAGTGAAGTAAATGCCAAATAGTAGAAAAACCTGAATGAAAACAGTAGGGAGACAAACAGAGCTGTGGACTACTGGCTGTCTTGAGGGTGCAGCCATTTTGAATATTTGCAAGTACAACCCGGTAACACCCTAAGAATTGGCTCTGCTCACCAAGGACTGTATAGGAAAGGAACTTACATTGGTACCTGACAGCTAGAAAGGAAAACAGCAAAGGAGACAAACAAAGCTGGGGACTACCAGCTATCCTGAGAGGGCAACCATTCTGAATATCTGCGAGCAGCGTGGCCATTTTGAATATATGCACGTGGCAGTTCTGAACTAGACAGTGACCTAAAAATAGGCTCTCCTTGACAAGGAAAGTATGGACAACCACATGGGAGGCTGATGACAAGAAAGGTGTGATATTCCCCTGTTACTCTTATACCCCATACCCTCTTGGTGAACAGAGGTATGGCCATACCCCAAGTCTCCACATACCTTCCTGATAAAGCAGGAATTCCATCCCACTCAGTGCCCTGACAAAGCCTGGTTACCATGCCCCACCCCCTACAGTTTTGTTTTAAATTATTATTATTATCTTCCTCTTTTCTTCCTTTTTATTTTCTCTGTCCCTCTCCTGGTTCTTTTTTTTTTTCCCCCTCTTCCATTTTCCTGGTTCCATTTTTTTTCCTTTCTTTTGATTCTTCACATTTCCTCTGGTCACTTTTGCAGTTTTCCCAGTATTTTCTTTACTATTTTTTTACTCTTGCTCTTTTTCTCATTCTACCCTCACCCAGAAATTGGAGTTTATTTTTTCCCTCTTTTTCTCTTTATCTTTTTTATGTCTTTTTGTAATGTATTTTTAAAATTTTTCTTCTCATTTATTGCCTTCTCTTTCTCTTTCTTTTTCTTTTGCACCTGTACTTGTTTGTGTATGTAGTTTGAATTTTTGGTTCAATTGTTTTTATTTTTATGATGGTTTTAAAATATTTTTTGTCTAACTTAGTGGAAGATAGCAACCATTCGCACACAACCCAACCAAATCTGCATCTCCTGCAGCCTCAACCACTAAGTGACGGCCACCACTTGCTTTTGTACCAACTGACCAACAACAGTTGGTGGCCAATACCAGCTCAAGTTACCATCAATGGCTCTTTACAAACACCTAACAGAGATCTGTGCACACACTCTCATTTTCTGTCACATCCACCAGGAGAAGGTGGTGAGTGCCTAAGTGCTAATAACTCCTGAATCGAGGAGCACAGTACCCTGCTCACACAGATATAGCAAAACAAAATAATGTGAAAGAAAAAAAAACTTGAGTGAAACATACCAATATAAATCACCAATTAAATATAAACACAATAACATCAAAATGTTGTGAAGAAAACCAAGCATCCCATTCCAAACAAAGAAGCAAGATAAAGTTGTACAAACAAGGGATAAGGATACAAACTCAGAAAACATCCTTGAGGAAAAAGCCAAATTGGAACTGAAAGAATTACATATGGGTACCTTAAACAGACAGAGAGAAGATCAAGGAAAACACTGATAAAATTAAGGAAAGCACAGACAAAACTCTGGGACAGTATAGAAAAACAATATAGGAACAAATTGACAAAATAAACAAATAATTAGAAACAATACAAAAGCATCAAATAGAAATCCAGAAGATTAATACAAAGGTTTCAGAAATGGATAACACATCGAATGCGTAAAGGAGTAGAATCAAATCAATGAAAAACAGAATAAATGAAATTGAAGACAAATACCTCAATATTATTTTATTAAGGGATCAGTCAGACAAAAGATCAAAACAAAATGAAGAAAGCCTAAGACTCATATAGGAGCTCTGGTAGCATAGTACCTAAGGCACTTGACTGCTAACCAGAAGGCTGGTGGTTGAAACCCACCAGCCACTCCTCAGAAGGAAGATGGGGCAATCTACTTCCGTAGTGATACCTCGGAAACCCAAGGAGGGGTCACTATGAGTTGGGTCCGACTCAACGGCACATAACAACAAGAGTCATATGGGGTACCATCAAGAGGAAAATCCTACATGTAATTAGAATTCCAGAATAGGAAGAGATAAATAAAACCACTGAGAAAATTGTCCAAGATTTGTTGGAAGAGAATTTCCATATGACAAAAGATGAGAATATATACATATCCATATAGGAAGTCCAACGAACCCCAAACAGGATAGACCCAAAAGAAAATCACTAAGACATATCATCACCAAACTCACCAAAACCAAAGACAAAGAAAGAATCCTGAAAGTGGCATGGGAAAAACAAAAAGTTACCTACAAAGGGCAATCAGTAAGACTAAGCTCGGATTTCTCAGCAGAAACCATGCAGGCGAGAAGGCAGTGGGATGGTATATATAAAACCTTGAAAGAGAAAAAATTTCCAACCAATAATTATACACCCAGCAAAACTGTCCTTCAGATATGATGGTGAAATCAGGACACTTCCAGATAAGCAGAAACTAAGGGAATTTGTTAAAATCAGACCAACCTTACAAGAGATCCTTTGGAAAGAGAACCAACAACAGCAAAAGCAACTGACCATTAACAAACATAATGACATAACCCAGAAACCAACTCAGTTATGGAAGTATCCAAAGTAAAATAAGTTTACAAGATTGTAAACAAGGAACCAGAGACATCAATTAGCAAATGAGGAAAACTACAAAGCAAAAAGAGGGAAAAAATAGTGTAGTTACCTAACTTCTAAATGGTAAGGAAGTTAAGAAAATTTTAAAATAGAACAGACTTTTAAACTTAGGAAAAAAATTATAAATCAGAGGGTAACCTCAAAGGAAAATAATAAATCTTCACATCAAAATAAAAAAGAGGACAAATACAAATATTTAGATTCTCACTCACAGCAACCCTTCCTTGGGTTTCCATAGTGGTATCTCTATGGAAGTAGATTGCACAGTCTTCCCTCCGAGGAGTGGCTGGTGGGTTTGAACTTCCAGCCTTCTGGTTAGCAGTCAAATCCCTTAGGCACTGTGCCACCAGAGCTCCCAAAAACAACAGCAATGATGGAGATGATAACATATCATAAACAAAATGAGCTCAACACAGTAAATTATATAGAAGAAAGAAATCAGCAACACACACACACACAAAATAACAAAATGACATCAATAAATTCATACTCGTACATAATTATACTGAATGTAAATGGATTAAATACACCATCCAAGAGGCGGAGAAATAGAGACTGGACAAGAAAACATGACTCATCGATACTCTGTCCACAGGAGACTCACCTTAGACACAAAGGCAAAAATAGACTAAAAATCAAAGGCTGTAAGAAGATATATTAAGCAAATGGCTATCAAAAAAGAGAATAAGTGGCAATGTTAATTTCTGATAATAGACTTTAAGATAAAAATAACTATAACAGACAAGAAAGGACATTATATAATGATTAAAAGTTCAATTAAACAAAACAACATAACCATAATAAATATCTAGGCACCCAAAGAAAGAGCTTCAATATACATAAATCAGACTTTAGTCGAATTGAAAAGGCAAATAAATGACTCTACAGTAATAGTAGGAGACTTTATTATACCACTTTCAATAAAAGACAGCACAACTGGAAAGAAACTTAACAAAGATGAATAAGACCTAAACAATACAATCAACCAACTTGATATTATAGACATCTACAGAGCACTTCACCTAACTATAGCACAATATACATTCTTTTCCAGCACATATAGAACATTCTCCAGGACAGATCACATATTAGGCCACAAAGCAAACGTCGCTAAATTTAAAAACATTGAAATACCATAAAGCATCTTCGCAAATCACAGTGCTATAAAATTAGAAATCAACACTAGGAAGACCAATGGAAAAAATGGAAACTGAGTAACACCCTCTTTGAAAATGACTGGGTAATAGAAGAAATAGAAAACACAACATACTAAAATCTTTGGGACACAGCAAAAACAGTGGTTAGAGGGCAATTTTTAGCATTAGATGCACACATCAAAAAAGAAGAAAGAGCCAAAATCAACACCCAATGCAACATCTTCAACAATTAGAAAAAGAGCACCAAAAAAAGCCTACAGTCAACAAAATAGAAGAAATAATAAAGATTCTAACAGAAATAAATAAAACAGAAAATATAAAGACAATAGAAAACAGTCAATGAGACTAGAAATTGGTTCTTTGAAAAGATTAATAAAATTGACAAACCACAGGTAAACTTAACAAACAAAAAGGAGAAGATGCACATAACACAAATAAGAAATGAAATGGGACATATCACAACAGAATCATCAGAAATAAAAAGAGTAATATCAGGATACTATGAGGAACAGTATTCTAACAAATTTAAAAATCTAGAAGAAATGGACAGATTTCTAGAAACAAACTACTTACCTAAATTAATGCAGACTGATGTAGAAAACCTCAAGAGGCCCATTAACAAAAGAAGAAATTGAACAGGTCAAAAAAAAAAAAAAAATTACCAGCACAAAAAAGTCCTGGCCCACATGGTTTCAATGGAGAATACTACCATTCATTCAGAGAAGAGCTGACACCAATCGTACTCAAACTATTCTAGAATATAGGAAAGGAAGGAATCCTCCCAAATTCATTTTATGAAGCAAGCATAATCCTGATACCAAAACCAGGCAAAGACATCACTAGAAAGGAAAACTACAGACCGATAGCCCTCATGAATACAGATGCAAAAATCTTCAACAAAATCCTAGCCAATAGACTGCAACAGCATACCTAAAAAATATCACATCATGACCAGGTGGGATTCAAAGCAGATATGCAAGAATAGTTCAACATTAGGAAAACAATCAACACAATCCATCATATAAGTAAAATAAAGGAAAAGAATCATGTGATCATATCAATAGATGGTTTGATAAAATCTAACACCCATTCCTGATAAAAACACTCAGAAAAACAGGAATAGAAGGGAAATTCCTCAACATAATTAAGGGCATATATGCAAAATCAACAGCCAATTATTCTCAATTGAGAGAAACTGAAACCATTCCTTGCGAACAGAAATCAGAAAAAGATGCCCTCTATCACCACTTCTATTCAACAATGTATTGGAAGTCCTAGCCAAAGCAACATGGTAAGAAAGGGAAATCAAGGTTATCCATATTGGTAAGGAAGAAGTAAAACTACCCCTAAGTGTAGATGATATGATCCTATATATAGAAAACCCAAGAGACTCAGCAAGAAAATTACTGGAATTTATTGAAAGATTTAGCATAGTGGAAGGATATAAAATCAACATCAAAAATCAGTTGGATTCTTCTACACCAGCAAAGAAGTCTCTGAAAAGGAAATAAGGAAGTCAATACCATTTACAATGGCTATCCAAAGATAAGATACCTAGGAATAAATCTTATGAGGAACCCCAAAAAATCTATACAAAGAAAACTATAATACACTACTTCAAGAAACTATAAGAGATCTAGATAGATGGAAGAACATATCATGCCCATGGATAAAAAGATTGAACACTGTGAAAATGTCAATTCTACCCAAAGCAATCTATACATTCAATGCAATACCAATCCAGATTCCATCAACATTCTTTAGGGATATGGAAAAAACAATCATTAGTTTTATACGGAAAAGAAAGGGACCTTGGATAAGCAAAGCACTACTAAAGAAGAAGAACAAAGTAGGAGGTCTCACACTACCAGATCTCAAAAACCTACTATGCAATTGTTAAAACAGCCTGGGGTTGGTACAAAAATAGACACATAGATTGCTGGAACAGAATCAAGAACCTAGAAATTGATCCATCGATCTATAATCAACTAAAATTCATTAAATGGGGGAGATAGTCTCTTTCACAAATGGTGCTGGCAAAACTGGATATTCATTTGCAGAAAAATGAAACAAGATCCATACCTCAGACCATACACAAAAATGAAATGCAGATGGATCAAAGACTTAAACGTGAAACCTAAAGTTCATCAAAGAAAAAATAGGAGCAAACTTAGAGACCCTAATTTATGACATAAAGACTATCAAGCATGGCCCAAAATGCCGAACGGCAGAAGATAAACTAGATGATTGGGACCTTCAGAATATTAAATTCATAGGTGCATCAGAAGACTTCACCAAAACAGTAAAAACAGAACCTATAGATTGAGGAAAAAATATTCAGCAATGACATAGAAGACAAAGGACTTCTCTCAAAATTTATAGAAAACTCCAGCACTTAAATATTAAAAAGACAAAAATCCAATTAAAAACGGGCAGAAGACGTGAACGGACACTTCACTAAAGAAGATACTCAAGAAGCCAACAAACACATGAAGAAATGTTTACAATCACAGTCATTAGCTATTGTTGTTGTTATATGCTGTCAAGTCAGACCCGACTCATAGCGACCCCTCCTAGGCAGTATCACTACGGAAGTAGATTGCCCCATCTTCATTCGCAGGAGTGGCTGGTGAGTTTGAACCGCCAACCTTCTGGTTAGCAGTCAACTGCCTTAGGCACTACACTACCAGAGCTCAACAACATTGAGATACCATCTCACCCCCAGCACTAACAGCAAAGTTCAACAACACAGAAAATAATAAATACTGATATGGATATGGAGAGATTGGGACTCTCATACACTGCTGGTGGGACTGTACAATGATACAACCACTGTGGAAATCTGTATGGCAATTCCTTAAAAAGTTGGAAATAGAAATACCATTTGATCCAACAATTTATTACTAGGTACACATCCTAAAGTGAGAAACAGGACATGAATAGATACATGCACACCCATGTTCACTGCAGCTCTATTCACAAAAGCAAAGAGGTAGAAACAACCTAAGTGCCCATTAACCAAGGAATGGACAAACTGTGGTACATACATACAATGTAATAAATACTATGCAACCCTTAATAATGTAGAATCTGCAAAAAACCACATAACGTGGATGAACTTGGAGGATGTTATGCTGAGTGATATAAGTCAATCGTAGACGGACAAATATTGTATTAGTCCTATTTTTTAAAAAGTTAAGGAAAAGTTTATAAATGGAAGTTTCATATTTGGTTAGCAGGGAGGGGAGGGGAGGGGGCATATATATAATACCAAAAATTATTAGTACTTATCAGGGGTAGTAGGGAGGTGGATAGAGGAAGCTTATTTTTGGGGGGAATTGAGTTTATGCTAATGGTGGTAGAATTTTTTAGAAAAGGATACCAATAATGTTGACATGACATGAAAAATATCATCAATGTACCTGAGCTGTAAATATGGAAGTTGTTATGTTGGTGAATGTCTTTTGTGTATGTTTTCACCACAATAATGTGGGGAAAAAAAAAAAAAATAGATAAGCCTCTAAAGAATGTGAATTTTAAAAACCAATCACACTTTGATACATAATTTGAATTTTTATAAAATATATTTTCTTTTAAGAAGATAACTGAAAATTGGACTCTGTTTCCTTTTGGAAAAATACAAATGATCTTAGAGGTCTTCTAATCCTAAGGCCATTTTAACATGGAAATCCCACACATGACTTCTCTGACAAATGCAAACCAATCTTTTCTCAGCACTACAAACAATGGGAATCTCACCATTTTTAAAAAAGATATCCTATGTGATGGTAGGATAATTTGAATGTTTAAAAGGATTTCTCCTTATGTGCAGGTGAAATTCACCCCTATAGCTTCTATGTGAGAGTTATACAAAAGTAAATTCCATTCTTTTTCAGGAGAAATCCTTTCAAATGTTTGAAGCACCATCTTTCACCCTTATTCTACACCTAGGTCTTCTCTTTTACAGAACAAACACCGGAATAATTTTAAAAAACCCCCCATATCAACTGGTTTTCAAATCTCTTACCATCCTATAGAATGCCTTCATATCCCTTAAACTATTGTACTTTAAAGTGGAGACAATACCCGAGAAGTCATTAGGCCATACAGGCCTGTCAGGTTTACTCCTCAGGACATTACACTTCATTAATGTAACAAGACTAAACTGAACTTCTTAGCAGCCATGTGTCAGTGTTAGTTCTGAGTCTGTGGTAAAATAAAAGCCATTCACTTGAAGGATAGAAACTGTTTTGGCTGACGAAAGCAAAAAAAAAAAAAAAACTGAATTTCAATTCTTTTAGTACAAAATTCACTAAAACCTCTTACCTGTACAATCTTTAGCATTCATCATAATAAGTTAGTGAAACATACCATTAACTATAGTATAATTAATGAAATACATATAATTAAGGAGTGACAAATACATGTTAAAAATGCTATTTAAACAAGAATATTATTTAAGACACATATATTTACCTTTGGAAATATGTGTTTTTACAGTGAAGTCATCAGGTGTTAATATAAAATTTAGCCACCAAGTAAAGCCCTGTTCCTGCTTTTCCTTCCAGCGTTCATCATAAAACATGTTTTTTGCAGCAAATGGCATTGGGTGTCTAGGAATATCTAAGAACGCAATTAGGTTACTGCATAAGAAAATTTCCTTTAAATTATTATAAAATATATAGGAAAAGGCCATTACTACTAGCAGAACTAGTAAAAATCTATCTTTAAAACACAATATATGCCTTTCAAACCTAGATGTCCAACAACTGAGGAATGGATAACCAAACTTTGGTACATTCACACAATGGAATACTATGCAACGCTAAAGAATAATGTAGAATCTGCAAAACACCGCATAACGTGGATGAACTTGGAGGACATTATGCTGAGCGAAATAAGTCAGTCACAAAAGGACAAATATTGTATTAGTCCGTTATTGTAAAAGTTAAGGAAAGGTTTATATATTGGAGGACATTTTCTTTGTTGGTTACCAGGGGTGGGAGGGAAGGGGAGGGAATGCTGTTAGATAGATAGAGATAAATATTGATTTGGGTGAAGACAAGGGCAATGTACCAAATGTGAGTGACCAATATGGCAGCATTGAGGATGAGAAAGACAGAGAGAGTTACATGGGCAGTACAAACAACAAATATGAACCCCTTTTCATATACAATACTGAGTTGTCAGTGAAAGCAAACATGGGTATAGGGACGGATAGATGGGTGAACAAGCTAAGCAATTAGGTATGTCTAAATGGAGAGTGTATCCAAGATCATATACAGGGTTGGCAGACAATGGGCCTATAAGTTCATGTGAATGATCAGAATTCCCAGGTGTATAGTAGAGCTGACAAGGGGCAAGGTTATGGTCATTACTTGGTCACAGCCAGCTACCCAGAGGGACCGAGTAGTTGATCCTGCGGGCTTGGGACCATAGTCGCAGGGGACATCAAACTCAATTGGCATAACATACTATACAAAACATTGTTCCACCTACTACTTTGGCGAGTAGCGACTGGGACCTTAAACACTAGGAAGCTGCCATCTAGATGCAACAACAGGTCTCTCCTCGTCAAGAAGAAAGAAGAAAACCAAAATTAATGGAAACAATCAGTCCTAGCGACTGGTACACCATCTGATCTGCAACCTATACAACTATGAGACCAGAAGAACTAGATGGTGCCCAGCTACCACTGCCATCCACTTGGAAGGGATGTAGGAGATCCTGCATAAAGAGGGAGAACAATGTGGTACAAAACTCAAAATCATTTGGAGGCAAAAAAAAAAAAAAGAAGGTGGGGACCAGGTTTGCTGGTCCAATAGAGCCTGGTGTAACCACTGAGACTATGGCCCCTAGCTGCCCTTCAGGTCTGGAATTGAACCCACAACTGTGGTTTCTAGCCAAACAAAGTACAGGCATGTGAGTTAAACATTTACCTCAAGTAGACACACGCCCTGGAGAGAACAATCATGGGAGAAGGAAGGGCTGCTTATGCACAGGGAGATAGCTCAGGGTGCAGAAGAGTATGAAGGGATGGACACTGGGAGGAGGTAACTATGGGGAGGAAGTGGGAGGGGAGCTGCTGCTTTGTAAATTTTGATCAATGACATGAGAAAAAGTATATGTGAACTGCTGTATGAAAAGTGAATTTACTCTGTAAATCTTCACCCAAATCCTAATAAAAAAAAAAAAAAAGGAAAAACACAATATATGCCTTTCAAACATGCTGGAGTTAAAAGAATTATAGGTATGAAATGCAATAAAAGCTAAAGGAGAATTAGTAAGTCCGTGTTGTGTTGTTGTTGTTATGTGCCATCGAATCAGACCTGACTCACAGCAGCCCCTCCTTGGGTTTCCAAGGCGGTATCACTAGGGAAGTAGATTGCCCAACCTTCCTTCCTTCCGAGGAGTGGCTGGTGTAAGTACTACTCAGGTATTCAAAAAGCCTAAATCATCCTAAGTTGATTTCATTAAAGACTGGTAAGTATAATTAGAATACACACTTTAAAAATTCTTTAAGGTTTTTATTTTTAAAAATAAATAAATAGCACCAATTCAGTTCCATCGAAAAGACAATCAATGTTTCACTTCATGTTAATTTTTCAGAGTTTAAAACACACACTTGCCTGCTTTTAATGGTTTTATGAAGGTCAAATTGGACTGCACCACAGGAACAATAGATTTAGTCCTCTTCCTTGTTTTAGAACTAGGAGTTCCGTGTACTAATGAATCTAAAATATATTACAAAGCAGAATTAATAGCATTAAAACAATAAAATGAAATTTTCCAAATAAGTAACTGATGAATTGTTTTAAAATTAAAGTTTGGGATCTCCACAATACTATTCATTTAGCAAATCCTGAGTACCTACCAGGCACCATAGTATGAATTCGGTGATCAACGAAACTGACATCTTCTGGTAGCAATAGAGCAGAAACTATCATTTATTTGGTATCTATTTAAGCTATGTTCCACAATCAATCAATTTATTGTATGCACATTATTCCAGACTATGTGATAGGGGCTGAGGATATATGACCCCAGTCTTTAGGATGTTCTCAATGTAACATGGAAGCTTAAAAAGAATTACACTATACTGCAAAAGGAAGAGGTATGTATAAGGAGCTGTGGAAACACAGAGAAGGGAGCCCTAACACCTGCTAAAAAGATAGGACAATCTTTCTAGAGAAGAATAAGCTTAAGCTGACTCTTAAAGAAAAGTAACAGGTAGGCATGAAAAAATATGTTCTGCTGACAGAAATGCCAATATGGCTGGAGACTGAATACATGTGAGAAAAGCAATACAAGAAGAGATTTTAAGAGGCAGGTAAAAGTTGAATAATATTAAAAGTAATAGTGGAAATTAATATTTGAATATTTTATGCCAGATACTATAGAAGCCTTTTTATATAGATTGCCTAATGTAGTCATCACAATAAACCTATGAGAAGTGTACTATTATTATCCACATTTTATATAATTAGGATAATGGGGCTTAGAACTATTAAGCCACTCACTCATGGTCACACAAGTTATTAAACTACAGAACTGGGGTTCGATCCTGGACAGTATAGTACCAGAGTCTGCATTATTAATCAGTTTGAAGCATCTTATAGGTCAGTGAAGGATTTTAATCCAGGAAGTAACATATTCAGTTATATGCTAGAAAACAGTTTGGCCAAGGGCATGAAAGGGGTTAAGACTAGAGGCAGAAAACCGTCAGGAAGCTACTACAGTGGCCCAAGTTAGATAAGATGAGAACTCGAATTATAATAGAAGCAGTAGAGACAAATTAAAGAGGACTGTTATTTTAACAGGAGAATCAATCAACAAGCCGTAATAACCAACTGACTCTGTAAGTGATGGAGAATGTCATCTCCAGGTTGATTTCTAAGTATCTAGCCCAGGTGACTGAGGTAGATAGTAAGTGATATCTACAATAAAAGTTACAGTGGCAAATCACCCATCAGAACAGTAGTTCAGTATCTCCAAAGCAGGTTTCATGACAGTCTGTGTTGCTACTAAATAGAAGCAAACAGCTAATGACTGCCCATAAATATTTTTAAGGGCAGGGATTGGCAAAATATGGTTCTCAGGCAAATTCCAGTGCATTACCTATTTTCGTATGGCCCACAGCAATTATTTTTACGCTTATAAAAAGTATTTCATGATGTAGCAAAATATGAAATTCAAATTTCAATGTCCAGCTCTGGTAGCATAGTGCCTAAGGCACTTGACTGCTAACCAGAAGGCTGGCGGTTCAAACCCACCAGCCACTCCTTGGAAGGAAGGTTGGGCAATCCTACTTCGTAGTGATACTGCCTCGGAAACCCAAGGAGGGGTCGCTATGAGTCGGGGCCGATGGCAAATAACAACAACAACAACAACAAATAAAATTTTATTCAAAGCAGTCACACTCTTTGTTTGCATATCATCTATGGCTCCTTTCAGGAGGCAATGACAGAATTAAGTAGTTGTGGCAAAGACTACATGCCCTGAAAACCATTGTAAGGGCTCTGGCTTTCAGTGAAATAGGAAACCATCAGAGGGTTTGGAACTGAAGAGGATCCTGCTAACATTTCAAAAGTATCACCCTGCCTGCTACACAGAAAGCAGATCATACAGAAGGCAAACAAAGAGAAGACAAAGAGATCTGTTAGCAGGCCCTGCCCAACACAAATTGGCTATGGAAGTGGTGAGAAGTGATCAGATTCTGAGTATGTTTTAAAGAGAATATAAGAGTTGTTGTGGACTGGGTTTAGAACAAGATACAACATGTGTCTGAATTTACAGAGAAAGACTAGGAGAGAAATACAATTAAGGCCAATTCCAAGCTGTTTGGCCTGAGTAATGAGGAAGACAGGTATCATTTACTGAGATGGGATATCACAGCAGTAGCACCCGGTATGTGTGTGGAGCTTGGGGTGCGGGTAGGGGCGGAATATTTAAGGTTTAGTTTTGGACAACTTAAGGTGATCATTAGACAGCCATGTGGAAATGTTGAGCAGGCAATTGGACATAGGAATCTACAGATTAGAAATTCTGAAGATACAAATCAAAGAGTTTTCCATACAGAGATAATAAAGAAATCCCAGTAGGGTGGTCAGAAAGTGACTGAAATAGTTTCAACAAATAAGAAAGGAAACAGAAAGAGCTAATATAAACAGCTTTTAAAATGATTTTTTATTTTTTTTTTAATATCTCTTAATGAAAGGATAATCCATATGCAGAAAAGCACACAATAAATAGGTAACTGTAAATTATCAGAGTAACATCTAAATTCTTTCAAGGACTTTTGCTTTAAAGGAAGCAGAAGAATGGAGCAGAGGCTGAAGGTGTAAGTGGATATCAACAGAAGTTTGTTTTTAAGATATAGCAGCATATTCGTATGTAAATCACAGATGTTCAAATTAGGAGTAAATAAAGAAGAAAAGACAATCTCTAAAGCAACATTCTTAGGTAAAATGACATGGGATCTTGTGAACAAGTAGATACACTAGCCTCATTTAGGGTTAGACAATTCATGATGTCATAAGAGGAAAGAAAAGTACATTGGTGAATATACAGGTAGGGTGGTAGAGGGTGTGTCAGTGTGTGAAAGTTTTCTTCATACCTTGTACTTCCTTAATGAAAGAGAAAGCAGATCACCAGATCAGATGGAGGTCAGAGCACTAGCTCTGGAGCCAAACTGGGTTACAGCCACAGCTTTAGGACTTGCTACCTGTGTGACCAAGTTACTCAACTTATAAACGCATCAGGTTTCTCATTTAGCTTATAAGATTGCTTTATTAAATAAGTTAATGGTAAAGTGTTCAAAACTGGATCTGACAGAAGTAGTATTCAATGAGTGTTAGCTATTACCAAACATGAGTGAGGAGGAAAAAGATGCTTGAAGCATCAAGAAAAAAGGGATGAGATCCTTTGTAGCAAAGGCATAAAGTCAACAAACCAGGAAAATATAGCCAGATTTAAGGGCTTGCTTGAGGTTAATGGTCATGAATTTAAAGACTAATCAGCAAGATTTAGATGTAGAGGAGGCAGAGTTGAAATGGGTTTAGAATTTTCTGGGCAAATAAAATAAAGGAAAAAGAGCAGTGAATGGAGTGATTACGATGAATTATGGAATCAAAGCTGAGTAAGGAAGAGAGGACCTGAAGGAAATGAGGGCTGGAGAAGAGAGAGTGGTACTAATGGACTTTACATTACATAAGAGTAGAAAAAATGCTAGACTTGGGTTTCTAGTGGAAACGCTGGAATCATTTAAAAAATAAAAAAACCCAAACTCATTGCCCTCAAGTTGGTCACGACTTGGGTTTCCGAGGCAGTAGGAGCTCTGGTAGCATAGTGCCTAAGGTACTTGACTGCTAACCAGAAGGCTGGCGGTCCAAACCCACCAGCCACTCCTGGGAAGGAAGATGGGGCAATCTACTTCCGTAGTGATACTGCCTCGGAAACCCAAGGAGGGGTCGCTATGAGTCGTGTCCAACTAGACAGCACATAACAACAACATCTCTACAGTAGATTGCCCAGCCTTCCTTCCGAAGAACAGCTGGTGGGTTAGAACCGCAATCCTTCTGGTTAGCAGTCAAATGCCTTAGGCACTACACTACCAGAACTCCCGCTGGAATCATAGGGTGATTGGAAATTAAATATGGCCTGCATGAAACTAAAAGCCCAGAGTACTGGCAAAACCTTCTACTATAATTTTGAAATCATAAAGAGTAATGACAGTAGTAGTTCTGCAGAAGTACCATGAGCCAGATGTAAAAATCTTGAGAGTATTTTCACTGTAATTCGGAGGAATCAGAGTCTGAAAAATGAGCTTTAAGCTGCTTTGTCATTGGTTTCTTTTTGTTTACTTGTTTGCATGCTTGTAAGGAAGAAAGGAAAAACAATAGTCTGGAAGAAGAAATGAGAAGCAAGGAGGTCCACTATCCCACCAAGAGACACAAGGTCTGAACAATATTAAAAAAAACACAACCTATAGAGAGTTGTAATGAAAGCAGTGTTCTCAAGGGAGACCAGGTTTCAAGAGAGTAACAAAATGAAGGAATGTTTGTTTAGAAAAGAAATGTGATAATTAAAGAAAGCCAAGAGGGCACAGGTGAGTTTAGAGTTCTGGAGGAATATAAGAGATGACTGAAATTAGGGGATGCTCAAAGAGAAAGGAGACAAAAATACAGATATGTGGTATCTCCTGAGTCCTAGGATTCATTTAAATGATGTTGAAACAATTAGTATGGTGTTTTTCTTTCTGCATTTGATTGCTATAAGGTAAACTGTATTAAAGGGGCATGGTAGGATTAATCATTTTTTAAATAAAACCAAAAAACAAAAACCAAACCCACTGCCATCAAGCCGATTCATAGTGGTCCTATAGAACAGAGTAAAACTGCCTGTCCCTTAGGGTTTTTAAGCCTATGAATCTTTATGGAAGCAGACAGCCTCATCTTTCTCCCATGGAGTGGCTGGTGGGTTTGAACTGCTGACCTTTTGGTTAGCAGCCCAATGCTTTAACCACAGCACCACTAGAGGTCCTTTTGAGGCAGAGAATTGGTGGCAAGACTGTGAATACTGGGAAGGAATAGTGGCTTTTTCCAAAGGAATGCAGAGCTCTGAGGCCCTATCTTCATTCCTAATTAAGGGCTCTGTGGAGGCTGAGGGAGACACAGAACACAGCGCCCAGAGGCCTCTTCTTCCTTTCTGCAGATCATATTCTAGTGTCAGGTATTTTAAGGGCCTTCCAAACAGGGTTTGCACTCAGGGGAGGTAACAGATGGTTCAAAGAAATATTTTTTTAAAAGTTAATGAAAATTCATGATGAATAAAATATTAAAATTTTAAGGGCAAGATCACAAATAGTTCAGAGTTTAGCCCTAACACTACATTTGCCTTATCTTCCATTAGCAAATAGGTACAGTTTAACACAAGTTTATTAATAGCAGATTTACAAAATAAAAACAAACAAAATATGCTCTTTATAGATGTACTTTCATTGAAGGTTTTATAACCAAGACTCACCTGATCTCTTCTTCAGGTTTAATTTCTCTCTGTTACTAGTATGTTTTGAAATAGGTGTGATGACTTTTTTTGTTTTTTTAGCTGTTGATGTTTTAGATTCCAAAGGAGAAAAATGGATTCTTCTGATTTTTTGTACTCTATGTTCCATAACTGCACTTCTCACATTTGCATTTTCCATAGTTCCGGCACTCTTTCTTTTACAAGCACCTAAAGCTGTCTTTGAGGAAGATGGAGTTATTTCATTTTTATGACTATTAAATTTGCTTATAACCGGATCTATAATTGGAAGGTATGAATGAAAAGATTCTTTCTCTTTTTGATTATCTACTATCACTTTTTCGAGTTCGCCTACCACATTGTTGAGACATCTTTTTGCCTTTGGTTTATTAATTTCAGTTTGTTTTTCTCTGGCAGAGCTGGACTTCTTTTTAGTAACAGTGGTGGAAAGTATCGGCCGTCTTTTGGATTGTTTATTGTGGTTGCAACCAGAAATATCCTGAACTGCAGAGAACTCAGGATGATTTTGTCTTGTAAAACTGTAATAATTTGACTTCACTTCTACGGCTTTGGGTTGTTCAGATATAGCTTTAGGAGATTTTGAATCCTGACATCCACGAGTAAATGGTAAAACTTTATTTTTCCTCCAAACTTGAGGAGGTTGTGGGACCTGAGAATTTTCATTTGATAATGGTGATAATTTACATGTTTGATGAGATGTACACATAGATGTCATGTTACTGTTTACAAATTGATTTGGTAATAGAATGGGTTTAATTGACTCTGATTCTAGATCCCGATTTAGTCCGTAATTATCATTTACAAAAGAATCTGGACTTAAAATAGTTTGATAAATTTCATGTACAGTTTTTGATTCTAAATGCATAGGCTTTGAATTATCTTTCATAAATTCATCTGATGAAAGACATGTAACTGATTCTACTTCATTATTAACTACATGGCTATTAAGTACAAAGGAGTCTGGACTTAGAAAATTTCCTTTGCTTTGTGTAATATTCAAAGTTGAAGAACAGTTTGGGGTAAGAATAAGTCTATTATTTTCTTCAATTTGGCCATTAATATTATTTATAGAGTTAATGGATGTTTCAGTTATAACTTGCTCATTAAAATTAAAATCGTTTGAAATGATGGGATCTTCTACTTTCAACAGTTCCACGTTTTCAGATGCATGAAGAGAAGAGTAGGTAGTAGATCGACGTACAGAAAGTGACAAAGTGTCACCATAGCATTCTTTGAAAGTGGGGCTTATAGGTGATATGGTTATTCTATTTTCAAGGATTAAGGAATTGTTTTCTGTTGGGGAACAGACTTCAGTCATAGCCAGATTTTCACAGGCTTGTAGTGGACTCCTAACTATGTCAACCTTTTGGGAAACATTAAATGTTTTATTAACATTTTGACTATTTGAAATCCTTTTGTTATGATTTGAAGAGGTTGAAGCAGTCTTTTTATTAATGGTATCCCAAAGACTCCTCTGCAAAAACAAGCAAAATATACCAAATAAGTAGGTAGCTGTTGAAGATTATCTTTAAATAAGCAATATAATGTATGCTATACACTTTATATTTGTTACCAGAATAATTTTGACAGAGTATTAAATATTTTCTTAAACGAAAATCACAGAATGACTTAAAGTTATTACCTTTTTCTTTTTCCGTTCTTCTGCATTTCCTAGTAATATAGCCTGGTGCTTCAGAACATCATTTACAAGAAATGTCACAATCTCTCTTACTCGGCCTTCTTTGGATGGTGTCCAGTTAACAGAAATTACAATTTTTTCTTTAGGCTGAAATCCAAAAAAAACACATTTTAAATGATTATGGCAATAGTGGAATATCATAACTAAATTATATAAAACTTAGCAGGGAATTAATAATTGTTAATCACCAACAATCTACACCCTAACAGCACTTAACAAGTCAAATATATTTTTCCCACCCTATATCCTCATTTAATAAGGCCACTATGAATAGTAAGGATCACAACAAAATAAAAATATAATAAAATCTTAATTGTAGCTGAAAGCAATAGAACAGATAATCTCCAAAACATTTTGTTGTAGTTGAATGTTTTTAATTTAATCATATATTACTACTTCTTTAGACATGTATGCTACTTCTGTTTCAAATATACTGTAAATGACCATGCACTAAGAAGACTTTCTTAAAAAAGAAATATAAAGATGATCAAGTAAATTCCTTCCTCTTACAATATTCTCTGAAGTCCCCATTATCATCATAACTAATATTTGTTTGTTGTTGTTGTTGTTATGTGCCGTCGAGTCGGCCTCGACTCATAGTGACCCCTCCTTGGGTTTCCGAGGCAGTATCACTACGGAAGTAGAATTGCCCAACCTTCCTTCCGAGGAGTGGCTGGTGGGTTTGAACCGCCAGCCTTCTGGTTAGCAGTCAAGTGCTTTTAGCCACTATGCTACCAGAGCTCCTCTAACCTTAATTTATATCATCAGTAGGATGCATGTTTTACGGCTGACATGACTGAATCCAGAAGGCTTTAAGTATCACGCCCAAAGTCAGACAGCTGGTAATTAGAAGCCAGGTAGTCTGACTCCACAGCCCAGACTAACACCTATACCCACAGCCCAGCAGGTAGACCTAATCATCTTTCCTGACAAAGCCAAAACCTTGACATGACAAAAACAAACTGTTTCTGTTGCTTTTCAGGGAAAAAATGATGAGTTTTTATTTTAAAGGAGAAACCACATAACATGATCAACATCTGGCTTTTTTAAAAAAAAAAAATTGAGATCAGTAACTTTGTAACAACAACAACTTTATAAAACAGAAAATTTCAAAAATAATACTTTAGTTCCACATTATGACAAAATGTAGTAAGTAAAAGTATTATGTAGAGAGAGTTATCTTTCCATAGAAAGGAAAAGAGGCAATCATTCATAAAACAGACCGAAGTTTAGTGAAGTTCTGAAGGGCAGATGAACCCAGTAACACACAAGTCAATGGCTCTTCATATCCAAGCACCTTCTCATTGCCTTGAGAAATGGTTATTAGCCAACTAGTTCAGATCTTGGTTTATGGTTTATTTTCACACTTTCAGAGGTTCTACTCAACAGAAAGGCCACAGCAACCAAAATCGAATATAAATTCTCTGGTTTTCAGTGCATCTGGCCAATATAATGCAGTAAAAGCTAAGGGGGAGGTTCCTTAAAAAAAAAAAAAAAAAAGCGTTGATAATAAAATTACCATTTATTAATTTAGAACTGCAAGAGCCTTTCACAATACCTGAATTCTATTTAAAATGTTTCTCTATATAATAGAGACTGGAAGTAGTGGGGGTTCTGTGGCAGAATTCTCCTCTTCCATGTCATTTGGACTAGAAATCACAGCATGTCCTACGCATCCACCACCACCCATCTGTCAGTGGAAGCTTCCTTGCATGTTGCTATAATGAAAAACAGGTTTCAATCGAGCTTCTAGACTAAGATGGACTAGGAAGAAAGGGCTAACGATGTACTTGGAAAATCAGCCAGTGAAAACCCTATGGATCACAACAGGTCCCATTTGCAAGAGATCACAGAGATGGCCCTGGACCAGGCAGCGTGCTACACAACAGCTAACAAAAAACAGCAACATGTAACAAATAAAATTAAACTAAACTCAACTGTCCTTGAATGAAATTCTGACTCATAGCAACCCTATAGGACAGAGTAGAACTGCCCATGGGGTTTCCAAGGCTGCAATCTTTACGGAAGCTGACTGACATGTCTTTCTCCTGCAGACTGCCTGGTGGGTTCCAGTCGCAGTCATTTTCCTTCCCATCTGAGCGCTTGACCGCTGCACCACCAAGTCTATATAAACGCTTTAAAGATTCTGTGTACGTGTATTACTATGCTGATACCATCTAAGTTACCGCCTACCCTGGCCTTTTCTACAGGGGACAAAGGCACTTTCACAGTTAGTGAAAAAGAACTGACTTCATCCTCTAAGGCTCTTTTTCAAGCCACACCCCCTTGGACCCATGTGGTAAGAAAGATGGCGGAGAAGGTGGGCGGTGGCGCAGGGCGCGCCCCTCCCACGACCTACCTGCAACACGAAACAATGCTGCGAGATGCTAAAGCCCCGGTCCGCTGCCGGGAAGCGGCAGATCTTCACTTCAGTAACCTCCTCGTTGGGATTGTCTAGAGCCAGAGACAAGGTTCGAGAGGCTCCTAGGCGAACATCCCCGAAGCAAAGGAAAGGCGACTTGCAGAAGTGGCTGAGAGATAGGACCGGAGGGGAAGCCGCCTCCTCTTCGGCCCCGGAGCCCCGCAGCACTACTGGCGTCCTGCGCTCGGTGGGGCTTAGCTCCCAGTAGCTTCGCCCCAAACGCCTGGTCGCCATGGAGGCTCCAACACCCCCGCCTAGACCTCTCACGAAGCTGCTGACCGCCTACTTTCAAGGCAGGCTGTGGAGATCGTAAAAGTTGATTCGCCCACCTTTCTTTTTCAGTCTCCGACACCTGGGAAAAAGGGTAACAAAAGCCAGCAGATTGACAAATTCAAAATGCCACACAACTATAGCTTTCTGCCTCCGTTTAAACCTCCCGCCTCCACCAATGAACACCTCCAGGCAACGCCTACCTGGCCACAGAGCCAATCACTCAGCAGCAGCAACTAACCAATGAGACTGCTGCGCCTTATTTAAACGCTTGCACAAGCGGTCAGTTGCTCTCTGCAGAGTGAAAAACCGTGACTAAGTTCAGAGGACTCCTAAAGCCGATGGCTTGCTTAGTCTTGAAATTCGCAGTTAGAGCTTTTGTGAACCGGTTGTGTTGACGCAAGAGTAACAGAGTTTCCAAAATAAACGTAGTAATCATTGAGGTTGCCTGACCACCTTAGGTAAAACCATTAAATAGGCAAAAGTTCATTTAAGTCTCATTTTTCATCCCGCCGAGAATTGTATGAATTAGCTTTATTTTCACGGTTTCCTGAGGCTGAATGGGAAAAAATATGAGGAAAATTAAAATGATAAAGTGTGAACCTGGTTATTTCAGTGACTGACCAAAGCAGGGTCTCAGTAAACTTCATTCTAATTCTCACCTCGGGATGTTGGAAGCGTGACATAAGAGAAATAAAACCCGAAATTCTAAATTATCCTTTTGACAGGCAATGCCTTTGACAAATAACTTCTTGGCTTTTATTTTAATTATTTGACTGCTAATCAGAAGGCTAGGTTCAAACCCACCAGCGACTTCCCCAAAGGAAGACTGAGCAATCCACTTCCATAGAGACACCGCCTGGGCCACCCAAGGAGGGGTGGCTATGTGTCGGAATGGACTCCAGGGCAGTGAGTTTGGTTTCGGAATACTTAGGAATCTCCGTGGCCCAACCTACAGACTGGCAGTACAAACACATGGGGTAGGCAGAACTCCACAGCAGTTAACAATTTTCACCTCAATTCCATGAGATAGCTACTATTATTTTTGTATTTTACTGATGAGAAAATTGAGACAGAGAGGTTATGTAACTTGCCTAAGGGCATACAGCTAGCTAGAAGTGGCAAAGCCAGGATAGGTACCCAGGCAGTTTGGCCCTCCTCCTGCTTCTAAATTTACTGTGGGAAACTTAAAAAAAAAAAAAGGAAAAGGAAAAGAAAATCTATGTATGAATGTGGTGTATGGGCACAACCATACATAGAAAGAAACATGTTTTTCCATGGGTGGAAAAACAAAATGACACTGATAAGAAATTACATCCAATGACACCCCAGTTTGGCCTGATGAAACCTGATTGAATTGTTACATTCAACAATTTTTAAACAAAAACATTTTAAAATCCTTCAAGATTGATGCACAATGAAAACATTACCTTTGAAACATAAAGATGTATAGTTTTATTTTTAACAAAAAACCTAGTAGGAATTACAATCATTCTCAAATTTGCATAATTTACATTTATTGTTTCATACTGTGAATGATATTCATCAAATCAGTGTTATAAATACAAGCCATCTTAAGGGTAAAATATCACTCAATTGTTTCAATTGTTTTAACATGGTGGTAGTATAATTTTGTTCATATATGCTCACTTTCAGTTTTTCTTCATAAACCATAGCCGTTGGCTCACAACCAAAACAAAAACAAGAATGGAATTTTTATTTACCCCTCCACTTCCATTCTCCACCCTTAAATTGATACATTTTACTCATTTAATATGTTGACACACGTACCTAAGAATGACCATAATAGTCTGCTATGTTCACTACTGGATTCAACAGTGGTTTATAGTCAAATTAGGTTGAAATGCTGGAACCCATCTGACAGTCCAAAGACTTGGAGATATGGGAATGTTGGAGGACAACTGTATGTACAACCTACTCAACCACCCTTAAGCATACATAAATACCCTCCCCTCTCCATAATACTCCCTTTACCAAAGCATTAAGAAATACACTGATGAGGGGGCTTGAATACCCTTGAAGAGGCCTGTGATAACTGTTTCCTATAGGCCAGGAATGATGGTAGGGGATGCTATGAGAACAAGTTGTCTTATCTCAATGTGAATGATAGGATCTGTAAATGATAAAGGTCAGTGCCATTTAACAGATCAGGTAGTAGCACCACAGCATGCCAAGGGCTGAACAGTAATTAGAGGCATGGATCTGTGGCAATGGCTAATTGATTAAGGGATCAATAGAAACAAGATGGGTAGTGTACTAAGTTTCTGCTTGACATATATTGTAGAAAAATTCTATCTCTGGAGAGCAGAAACCCAACTGGAGCCCACAGATCCAAGGACCTTTAACTAAGGAAAGGTCTTACCCCTTTGAGACAAGATCTTGTAACATGGATGCAACTTATAATATAGTAGTCACCATACAAAAACAGTGTTTCGTTCTGCTGTGCATGGGGTCGCTATGAGTTGGAAACGACTCAACAGCACTTAACAACAACAACAACCATAAATCTTAACCCAAACTTTCTCCCAGAGAAAACTGAAGCCATTTACCAGCGTGACTGTGGCTGTGGAAAGAGAATACCCAACCCTTTCAGACATTCTGCTACACTTAAAATGCCACCATGGGCTACCAGTCTGAGTGGGATTTTATGGACACCAGAGGCATCCAGGCCTGCATCTGTCTCACAGAGCATCCAGGATAGGATTCATTCAGTTCCAGACTACAAAGTGAGAACAGACATACTTAGTAACTGGTAGAATTCTCACACTGGTTTTAAGTTCCAATGAGTAAAGGCTATTCTGGTATAAAGGGTGAAATAGAAGCCCCTGTAATCCCTTTCCCAATGCCTCTATGATAGTAAGCTAAAAGCAATAGTATAACTCTGAAGAAATTTCAGAGGTTAGTTTGAAAATATGAGAGATGCAAGGTGAGTGATTACAACCATATGCCCATTTACCTCCTCTGTATGGTCAGCACAAAAGTCAAATGGGTCCCGGGAAATGATAATAGATTATCGCAATTAGGTTATGATGCCAATTGCTGCTGCAGTTGCAGATCTGTCCTCTTTACACAGCAAATCAGCACATCCTTGACAGTTGGTTCCCTAGTTATTATATGGCAAATGTTTATTTCTTACTTTTCTCCATTCAACTAGTAAGGAAAGACTGAAGCAGTTCATATGTATGTGGCGAGGGATCACTATTATGCCTCAGGGCTAGTCAATTCCCCTGCCTGTGCTGTAACATTGTCCAAAGGGACCCAGATCTTCTTGATCTCTCAGAATACTGCACTGGTCCATCGCATTGATAACATTTGCTAGTGAAACCTGGTGAATAAGAAACAGCTGTCGAGTTCTGGCAAGATGGCGGACTAGGCAGAAGGATTGCACAGACCCTCTTCAACAAAGAAAAGGGAAACCAATTAACACAGACACAGAAGATAATCG